ACCTAGTGATTCTGTGATTCTGTGAATAAAAATGTCGAAAGCTTTACACTGATAGTGCTGCAGATGACATCAAAATCAAAACTTATTTGACAAACTGTTTTATTCCAGGGCAATATTGGATCATCAAATTGGGGTCTTAACTTGCTTCAAGAGGAGAATGTAATTCCCGATATAATGGCACTTGCGCAACATTGTGAGGTTCTCTCTGTTAGAGGGTATGTGTATCTGATTTATACATAAAATTTACAGATGTTAGTTCCAGTAGTTTTTCAAATAGCCTTACCTAATTTATGTGAATATAGTTTTGACACTTGGAAATCAGTTATTAAAGATTGTTGATCAATCTGTCCTATACAATCTCAGAATTGTATAGGAAGTCTAAAAGAACATATAGTAAGCAAATGAAACCTGTGGGGAAAAAAAGATACATGCTACTTATTTCCTTTTTTAAAAAAGCAGTTAAAATATTTGTTACTTATCTCTCTGTTGGAATCAATTTATTATTCTTTCATTTTTATTCAGTATCTTTTTTGAATCTTTAAAAAGAAAGCATAATGTCCTGGTTTCGACTGGGATGGAGTTGTTTTTTCTTCCCAATAGCTGGTATAGTGCTGTGCTTTGGAGTTGGTATGAGAATAATGTTGATTACATACTGAAGTTTTAATTGTGGTTAAGTAGTTGTAGTGCTTATACTAAGTCGAGGACTTCTCAGATTCCCATGGTCTGCCAGTGAGGAGGTGCACAAGAAGCTAGGAGGGGGCACAGCCAGGACAGCTGACCCAGGCTGGCCAAAGAGAGATTCCCTGCCATATAACATCATGCCCAGTAACGGCCAGGACAGCTGACCCAGACTGGCCAAAGAGATATTCCCTACCATATAACGTCATGCCCAGTACATAAACTGGAGTTAGCCGGGGGGTGGGAATCACTGCTCAGGGACAGGCTATCAATCACCGGGTGGTGAGCAATTGCTGCATTGGGTATTACTTGTTCTTGTACATTCCTTTGTCAGTATTATTATTATCATCATCATCATCGTTTCCTTCTCTCTTGCTGTCCTATTAAACTGTTTTTATCTCAACCCACGAGGTTTTTCAGAGTTCCCTCCCCCGTCCCACTGGGGGAGGGGGGGAGTGAGTGAGCAGCTGTGTGGTGCTTAGTTGCCGGCTGGGGCTAAACCACGACAGTCCTTTTTGGCATCTAATGCGTGGCACGAAGGGTTTGAGATGATAACGCTTGCAGGTCACGATATCAGTTTGATTTGTATCATTCTCTCGTCCTTGCTGTACATGTTAAAGATTGGTGTTGGTTTCTGCGGGCTGCTGCACTCTGCAATGGTTAGTAATGTCTTGCCTGCGAGATTTGTTTTTAGAACATTGACCTTGAGCTTAATGTGGTATCATCTGAGCTCTGTACTAAAGCCATTACTGTATTTTGGCTACTGTCTTGTGGAGACAATTAGCAACTATACTTCTGCCTCCAAAAGACTTTTTATGGAGGAAATGCAGAATGGTACCTTTGCTACCCTCTATCATAATGTTTCCTCCTTCATCACAATAATTTTTCAGTATTTTGAACACCCTTGGGTAGTTAAAATACTTCTATTGGTACTTCTGGGGAACATTGTTTCGGTTTTGTCTAAGGTTGGCAAGCAATTTAAGAATATCACCCGGAGATCTGCCCCAAGGCTGGATAGTTATGAATGGCAGGGTGTGTGGAGCAGCATGGGCAAATGCCTGGGGCGGTGGGCACCTCTGGTGTTCTGGAACTTCACCCCTGAACAAGTGCAGAATCCTGATAAACTAGCAGAACCTGGCACCACGACACAGAAATAGATAGTCTTTTGCCTAATACTGCTGCAGCATTGTTTTTCCTTTAAATAAATAAGGTATTTTTCTACTTTATGTATCAGGCTCTTGTAATATTTTTTTTTTTAATAGTGTATTGTACTCAGGTATTTTAGTGCATTTCTTAAGCTTCCATTGATTTACAAATAAAAATCAGGAACAAAAAGCTATTCGGCAGTTTTGTGAAGTTTCTGCTGAATTGTTTTGAAACGGTTTCCTTTCAAGAGAGAAATAAGTTTAGTTAAATTAGATGCTATTATTGTTGCTCCTTTTTTCTATATATATTAAATACAGAACCTGTGTCTACGCGCTTGGTCTAATAGCCAAAACTAAACAAGGATGTGATGTTTTGAAGCATCATAACTGGGATGCAGTGAGACACAGTCGTAGACAGCCTTGGCCAGTGGTCCCTGATGACATGGAGCAGCTCTGCAATGAACTTTCTTCTATACCCAGCACTCTTAGCTTGAACTCTGAGTCTACCGGTTCTAGGCATAACAGTGAAAGCGAATCTACGCCTTCAAGTAAGTAACAACAAAAAAACCCAAACAAACAAGCAACAACAACAAAAAAACACCACAAAACAGCATTTTGGTGTTCTTACCGACTTTTTGGCAGGATGAGATTTAGGCAAATGGTTTAAAGGTGCTATTGCAAGAAAGAGTGCAAGCCAGGGGACAGTTTTATGCATTCAGAGAGATGTAATCAAGTGAGATGAAAGAGAACAATGGCTTAGATTTACATTTGGTGTAGAAATATGAAATTTTAACATTAGGGTAAGTTACTAGTTTTTTATGTCAAGTTATGGCAGCTTGCTATAATACCCTGCAGAAATCTCCATGCTTTAGGTATAAAGATGCATTTACTTGTTTGTCCTTAAAGGAATAAAGGAATATTTAGAATATATATTCTGTGTATACACACACATATATACAGTATTGCTGTATTTAAATTATTGTATATTTTGTGTATCTAATATGTTTTAATTTTGCTATTGATATTTGGAATTTAAATCCAGAAATATACCATATTTAGATATCATTAAAGGAATGCATCAGTTGTAATCCTAGTAGCTGGATATTTGCACTGAAATAAGATAGTGTGGCTTTTCTTTTGAAGCAACGAGACCTTCAGCTCAGGTACTCCTGAAGATACTTAATTTACAATACTAAGTTCTGCAGAAAAAAATGTTGAATTAAAATTGTGGTAAAACACAGTCTCCCATTTTAGCTTTTATAGAATTGTTTATTTTTTCGCAATATAGTTTATACACTTTGAAGAAACGTCCATTTTCAGTGACAAAGTCTCATATAATTTCAGGCATGTTCATCATGGAGGATGACCGTTTTGGTAGTACTTCCACTAGTACGTTCTTCCTAGATATTACTGAAGATACAGAAAAAATATTTTATGACAGACCTGGACCTTCAAAGGACAAAGACCGTAGTCCCTTTCCTTTTTTTTCTTCTACAAGACTTGTGAAAAATCGCATTCTAAACTCTCTTACTCTACCTAATAAAAAACATAGAAGTAGCAGTGATTCAAAAGGAGGAAAGCTGACATCTGACAGTAAATCAGATCTGAGGCGAAATCGTACTGTAACAGAACCTTCCAGTAGCGTAGACTTTCCTGCTGGGGAAGAATTCAACCCTGTTTTCAGAGTTCCTAAAATCCAGACTTTACGATTAGAAACTTCTTTTGTTGGAAGTAAGCACATGGAAGATACTGATAGTACCCCAAGTATTGGAGAAAATGATCTGAAGCTGCCAAAAGGTCTTGGAAATGAAATTCACCGGGAAAACACAAGCAGAGAAAGGCTAATAGGAGATGGTACTACACAAACACATTTCAAGAGTCGTAGCTTAAGTTTTAATACAGATACCACAACAAGTGGCATAAGCTCAATGAGCTCTAGCCCTTCAAGGGAGACTGTAGGTGTGGACACTACAAATGTAGATACTGACTGTGGAAGTTTGAGTACTGTGGTAAGCACAAAAACAGTTAAACCGAGTCACTGTTCAACACCACAGTCTAACCACCTGCTTCTCTCAAAATCCAACTCTGTATCCTTGGTACTGCCAGGGTCTTCTCATACACTTCCCCGAAGAGCCCAGTCTCTTAAGGCTCCTTCTCTTGCTACAATAAAAAGTCTTGCTGACTATAACTTTAGCTACACAAGTTCTCGAGATGCCTTTGGCTATGCTACACTAAAACGCTTACAACAGCAGAGAATGCATCCTTCACTGTCTCACTCAGAAGCCCTAGCATCTCCAGCAAAGGATGTGCTGTTTACTGACACTATTACCATGAAGTCTGGAAGCCTGGATTCTCGGCTGACCCCAAGCCGGTAAGAGATTATTATATTCTTGTTTCTTACATCAAAGCTGTAAGAGCAATTAAATAAGAAAAGTATCTTTCTAATATTTTTTTTCCAACTTCATCTAAAAGTGACAGTTGTTGCAGGATGATTCATAACTTTGCTGAAAGCATTACCAACATTAGGTGGAGAATAGGCTAATGAGAAGTCTGAAGTTTGTAAGTGCTGTCATAGAAGCCCAGCTTTCATAGCTGTCCTCAGTCCCTTTAATGTTGTTAGTGACAAAAGAGTATGTTTCCTTCTATCACATTTACTTCCTGTTTAACTTTTTTTAATATTTAAATGCGATTGCACTGCTAACATTACTGAAGTTACAATCACACAAAACTGCTCATGCAGTCAGAGCTGTATTTCAGAAGAGAATTTTCTTGGATGTCACTTGGTGGGGTTTTAGGAAAGGGACTAAAACTATATTACTGTTCACTGTGGCACTGAGGCCAGTGGTGAGATACTGGTACCACTGATATGAATGTGAGTTTGGCTTCTTAGCTACAACAGAGCAAAGATTTTACTCATAGGGTTTATTTTTAGATTGCAGTGTCACCTCTTTATTTTTTAGTACTATTAGCTCTTCTGAAGACTAACTGGATAGTTACAGAAGATATCTAGCTCATGAAATTTACACTGTTCCCAGCAGCTACAGTCAGTGCTTAACGACTTTCTCTTAAAAGTTCTTCTACTTCCCAAACTTTTCCTTTCAAAACAGCTTTTAGATAGTGGATTGGATTTTCAGATTACTATTGAAAGGGAAAAGACACTTTCTACCTCTGTTTTTACCTAAATATCCTGTCTCACATGAGAGAAAGGGGAGAAGTTACCAGCACATTTGCTCTTCTGTGCAGTAAGGAAGTGACTAATGCTCTGTCCCTGAATTTCAATCCGCATACCCAGTTGAGTGTTTATAGTACCTGTTTATTTCTACTAGTTTCGCAGAATCACAGAATGGTAGGGGTTGGAAGGGACCTCTGAAGATCATCTGG